GGGGGGGTCGAAAATTATAACTTTCTAACAATGATCATGAAGTAAGTGACAATGCCCTTGATAGTTCGGCAACTACTAATACACATGTGTTGGGCAGGTCACGTTCGGGCCCAGTGAAGGAGAATTCACGTACCTTCTGAACACCTGAGCACACGGGGTTGCCTAACAATCAAGGGGAAATGCAACGTGTAACTCTTACATGAAACTTTCCGTTCATTGTTAAAAACTTATTATTTTTTACCCCTTTACATGTTCTAGAAGTGGCCGCAACTGGGATAAAGGGCCACAACCAAAACCGGTAATATGGTTCCAGACATATTTTCATTACTCATGCGGACCATACATGATGCCATATTGTTGATCTCGGCAGTTTGCCTGGCATCTCTGAAACGGGGAGGAGGGGGCATGGAACCATGCGTGATATCAGACCGTACCAAGAAAAACACTGAAATTTCATTGAGGTGATTTGAAATTTCTGAATTTTGTTGCGCATGAATTTCATATTACAGCTTACTAAATCAGCTTTAAAACATCGATGTTTAAATACATCGTTGAGTTTTTGTCAATGTGTTATTAAAATCGAAATTTTAATTTTGAACATTTCTGGTCTATTCTTATACATATACACGTATACAAACATTTTTATGTATTAAAATTAAGTAAACCTTTGCAATCTTATACATTCCCACTTATCAATTTGTGTATTACTTTGATCCTGTTATAGTTTTACATTTTAATTCATTCGTATTTGGTACAACATTTTCCTGTAAATTAATTCTTATTATGCCTCATTTTCTGCTACAGTTGAATTAGTGTACGAATATCCTATCAAGGCATCAAAAAATGTTATCAGGAATGTAAATTAATAAAGTGCTCAAGTTAAAAAATAAAACAGCGTTTTATAAAATTAAGGTCAAGAATTGCTCCTAAGATGAGGAATAAACTAATATTATTTACATATTTATGGCTGCTCATACTTTTGGTAGAGTCAAGTAACAACAGAATGTTGAGAACTGTGATATGGAAATTCAATTAAATGTCTTAAATTATAGTTATCTTTAATAAAAATTAACATTTAGATGTAATTCAGCATTTTAGAATATGTGAATGTGCTAGCTTCCTAAGATGAACTGAATTTCGTAAGACGAACGTTATTGCAACAAATATATCCCTAAATTATCTCATGCTGTTTAATTTGCGTAGATTGTTATTACAAAGGGGCTGTCTACAGCGACAACTTCAGCAACAAGGAACTCAAGTTTTTCATTGCAATATTCTGAAAATTCTCTTCTCCGTTGTTCAAACTTCCATCATTCTCGCCTCGTCGTCACAGAAACGAAAGGAGCGTGTTGTCCCGGGTTCCTACCTCGCCTATTCCTTCATGCACTGGAAGCTTAAAACCTGGAAGCTCCGATCCGTCGAGATGCTCGCTAAATAATTCAAGGCCTGCCTTCGTTTTTGTCGTTAAAATTTAAAGTGTCTCGCAGCGGCCGCCCCCGCTCCCGCCCCCACCTCCGCCCCGGCGGTAGCCTCCGCCCCGCAGAGTAGCGCCTTTGAACTCCGTCTCTGAACTACTTTTTTTACGGTGGTTGGTTAATTATTCTTCCTCCCATTTACGCTCTTAGCCGCCATCAGCCGTCGTCCCTGTGATCTGCGCCCAACCCTTCCATTTAGCAGCAACTTGCGGGTGGCTTTATCCTTGGACCAGGGATGCGGTCGCCTCTTCCCCGATGGCTTTTGTTCGCTCCCAGCAAGGTATTACCGTCGCCGCGATCGCCCCTCCCACCCCTCCCAGCCCGCCAACGCCCTCGCGCGCGCTTTGTCGTTATTACTTTACAGCCGCGTCGCTTTTTAGGTTCTCAGGGGGCCGCGACGGGAGCGTTCAAATATTCATGCGAGGTGGACCGCTAGGGAACGGCCGAAAAAAGAAGGCGGGCGAGCGAAAGACCGACGGCGCCGCTGGAGTAAATAATTAAGCGGTCGCTGTTAGCGCCCTCCTCGCCTCTCACTACTTCGCCTTTCCCCCGCTCCCTCCTCTTTAGGGGCCACTGAATGTTTCATGTACCCCTTGCTTCCTACGGCGCCCCGACCAAGACTTCTCTCGCCTTCGGACACTTTGGTACACTTTCGACGGGATTGCGCCTTCAGGTGCCAGATTTTCGTGAAGAGAGTGCCTCCTTCCCTTGATTCCTGAAGCAATACACGCACTTATCAAGCGATTTGGATTCTTTCAATAAGGCGATTCGCTGGAAGACGTTGTCACGTCAATATTATGGAAGGTAGCAAATATTTTTTTAAATGTGGCGAGGGGAGCGCAATTTTTTTGAACAGACGAAGGCATAGTTTCAAGCACGGAAAAAAGGAACAGTTATAGGGACGTAAAATTGACAAGTGTAAACATTTGAAAGTTTGTAAATAATGTGTTATATTGATAGAAAATTTAATTATTTTTATAATAATGAATTTGGAAGTTGATACTCCTATACATTCAATATCTTCTGAATTGTAATAAAATTATTGTAAATCATCTGATTTGAAACAATTAAACTATAAATGGATAGAAAATGTTACTAACTTTTATGATTTATTTAATTATGTATCGTGTATGTCAAGTATTGGCTGGCTATTGAAACAAACCAGGGGAAAGGAAATAATATCTTAAGTATCTAGAACAGGGATTCCCAAACTTTTTCTTTCATTGACCGGTTTTAAATTTATTGTATCATCATCAACACCCTTTTTCTCTATGACATTCAGCATCCATAACACAAAGAATTGCACATAAATTCTTTAAAGGTAACAATTTCATACACCAATATTCTCATAAATAAATCAGTCTTTCAGTAATCGAAGACTTTACTTTTGAATAGGTGAGTTTCTAATCTTCAGCAATGGTTACAAAATGTTGAGTGTTGTTTATGAATTGGCTGTTAAATTTCTCCAGTGTATATTGTGGAGAGTACTTTGCTGCATGACAGAGTAGCATTGTGAATCCTTAATTATAATTTCTTAAATTTTCTATACATCCTATCTCCTACGGACATGTTTGACTATTCACTGCTAATCCAATTACATTGATTTTCATTCTTAATCATCATTGACCTTCAAAATTTCATTGACCTCTAGGGGGTCTATACTGACTCTGATGGAAACCCCTCATCTAGGCTTTAAATTTTGCATAATTATGTGATGGGAATAAATTACCTGAACAGAACTGGGTAAGCCTAGTCAGCTCTGTTAACATAATATGCCTTTACATCAAGTTTTAACTGTATGTACTTTTAATGAGAATTGAAGGCTCTCTAAGGCCCTCGATTAAAGCTCTTTGGATTTTAAAAATATATTTATTATTTTGTTCCTATTGAAAAATATTTTGCAATGTTTATTCTAGAAAAAAATATCTTACCTTTTCTCACACAAGAGAGAGATGAGGTTTCGAGGTTTCTGGAATGAAACCTTTTCACTTGAGCAGAGCTTGAAGTATGTCGTACAAAAGTGAGTACACACTAATAGTAGACAAACATACTAAATAATATTCAATCATTATTGATATTGTCATTTTCATAACCTTTAGTACTATCAAATTAACAAAAATTCAACAAAATCATTGAGAAATACAAATAAAAGTTTAACAATATTTCTAGTGCAATACATAGTTTTATTTTTTGTGAATGTTGTTGAAATTTACTCACTGTAAACATTTCCAAAATATGAATTTCTTTGAATCTTGTTCATGTTACACTCTGTTGTGAGATGATAAATTTGCAAGGGGGATTTGAGAAAAAACAAAAGGAGGGGGAAGATATTATTCTATTAAATGTTGCTGAGTAAAATTTGTGTAATTTGTTATTTTTCTAGTAAAGACAATTTTGTTCTCTTCTATTCATTTTTGGGTTAGTAGTACTCTTAAAGTCCTCAAAGTTGTTAACCATCTTATGAATATTGCTAGTATTACGTGTGACAAAATCTGTTGTATCAAAGATCTGCTTTATGATTAATGCTCTCCCACATATGTTCATATTTATTTATTTGTTTGGGTAATTTGATTAATATTAATAGCAGCATGTTCAACTTCTAAATCAACTTCATCCTCAATCTTCATCACAACTTCATCATTCAAACATTTCTTTATGAGAGGGGATCCAAGCAATCACAATTTGTTTGCCAATTTTTGTTATGTTGTATACTGATATTGTTGTATATAGTTGAATATTTCTGATCTTGATTTGTGGTTTATATCTTTTGTTGTAGAAAAGGAATTTGTAAATATGATACAGCTGTGGTTCTCAGATATTTCATTTTCAATATCTTTTAGGAAGAGTACGTAATATGGAATGCAAACCTACAGTTTTAATGGAAATTAGTAAGTGGGGGGAGAGCCTGTTTCAATTTAAAGGCATATGAGTAATTATCTTATCCAATTCCTTTATATTTAGCTCTTTCAGTGTACAATTACAATTACTATATTTGCTACTGATTTCTTCTCCATTCTTCTGCTGTTAATTTTTCTGTATTTATTCTGTTAGGAATAAATCAATGTTAATATTGTAAAGAATTCATGGTGGAATACTAGTTTTACTTTCTCACAATCGTATCTATTAATTCAAGTTGACTTCTTCAAAGCAGTGCTTGGTTTTTTGAAATGATAAGTTTATGAATAAGTATTGAAAAGATCAGAAGTATTGAAAAGATTTTCCCCCTAAAATTTTTCAAAACTATTAATTTTACTAGTTCTATTAACTAAGAAAAAATAATTTTTGGATACTAATTAAAACGAATAAAATCGTATTGCGGCATGAGCTAAGTGTAGCGTGTGATGTTTTAATAAATCTATAACATGACACTTCAACCAAAACATTTTCCCTCTCAAAATTTGTCTTTGGATCCACCCCTGACACTTGTATGGTAATTTTGATTCTTATTGGACCTCAACAACATACAATGTATGTATTAGGGAGCAAATACAATTCCATTTACTATGGCAATACTTCAGTTCCTAAGTAATCTCATTCAATCATATACTACCCTCAATCACAGTTCCCACATGGAGAAAAAAAGTAACAATAACAATAATAATAATAATAATAATAATAATAATAATAATAATAATAATAATAATAAAGTAATTGTTAACACTGAAAGTTCAAATTTTGGATGTCCTGAATTGATCAGTCCATTCATACTTACATATTTTCAAATGTTCATGATGATTACATATAATATACAATCATCAGTTTACATATTATGGAAAGTTGGAGGATTCCAATGTCAATATTGTCCTCAGAGAATTCGATAGTCACCATTCTGGGTTTAACATGAAACAATTATGTATGAATTATATTTGTAAATATCTGCAACATAGGTGTGAACGGAAAAGGGCTAGGTGCCAGTGACTCCCTGAAAAATGTCGAAAGCCTAATGCCTTACATAAAAACATTTTATTTCTATAAATATATTTGTTTTTTCTGATCTCCCCATTTTCTAACCTGACCATTTGAGGGAATAGATATACATTCGAGGAATGCAGTGAATTTTATACTCTGCAGCTTAAGGTTAATTTCCTGTTCTTTCTTTTTCTCCCTTCACATCATACATTCTTACCATCTTTGACATATCCTTTGATGTCTTTATGCATTCCGATTATTTTTAAATATCTTTAAACAAGGTCATGTACAATTTTCTGAAAATATCAGCAAAAATTACTCATTTTCCAAAAAATTATATATATCTGCATATAATTACACCTATTTGGAATATTATATGGCTTCACTTTCTTTCTTTAATTTTTTCTCACATAGAAACTAAGCTTATGAAAATGGCACAAGTCCCATTTTCAGTGAAGTGGATTTTTTTAAATTGCAGAACTACAATATTGATAATAGAGACTTTGACTTTAATGAAATCTGTTCACAAAAGTTTGATCTCTTAATAAGGTCATGTTTTAATGTATTAAATATGTATTAATAATACACAGATAGTAATTTTTGAAAATAAGATTTTTACATAAATTTTGCTTGAAATGAAGGCAATTAATAAAAATATTTTCCCAAAACACCTCAAAATTTTTTCTTGAACAGAACAAAGGTTCTGTTTTTATTGAACTATTTGTATTTTTAAATTTGAAAAACATACAATTATGAGAAAGTGTTTATGTTGTTGAACCACTAGTTTCTTATGGAGATGTGGCTAATCCCAATAATTAATGTTTCATACGTTTTTTTGCTATTCTTTTTGCATGAAGATAAGAGGTTTTGGATTCCTCATCTTTTGTGTTTCAGATGTATTTAAAGACAATGTGTTTGAAAACCTAAAATTTAGAAATTGAAGATTGTCTCAGTGAAAACAGGTCCTTTGGAAAGGAAGTACATAGGAATAGCAGTTTTGTTTTTTCTTGCACCAATATTGATGAATCAACCATCACAACCAACAACCCCTTTGTCTAAGAAGTAAAGTATGAATAGCGCACCTTCAATACATACAGTAGCCCAAACAGGTAAAAAGCTTATCCTTTTTTTTATTGAAGTTTTCTGCTATTTGTTATATATTGTTGTGGCCATAGATTAAATGTCCATTTTACTATTTCTGATTTGAGGGTCTAATGAGTCCTTGCTTCGAAGCTCAACTTGTTAGTATCACTTCTCAGTTCTGTAGTCATCGCAGGACATTTGTTGACAGAAAAGGATAACCCTCTAAATTCCGTATATTGCAAAAGAATGATTTTAAGCATTAACTGCAACAAATTTCTACATACATAACATGTGAAGGTGATGTAATCACTAAAATAATATTTGAAATAATTAAAACCTAAAAAATATTTTAAATCAGAGACAAAGAGAGAGAGAGAGATACTGATAAACAAACAATGATTTTATATTTTTCTTGTAAAATGTACAAAAATTACTGTGGATATCTTTTACTCATTGGCAGAATTACCATGTAGATAGGAAATTAAAACTGCAGTGACAAAAGAACAAATATGACTTTCCAATATTGAACAGACAATAAAAGCTGATTTTATAATCTAGTGTTATTAGAAATAGTTTAGCATGTTCATTAACATCTATTAATCTAAAAAAGTACATTAGTTACAGTTGTAAAAAAAAAATTGAACAAAGAACTTTGATTCTCTTTTTTTTTTTTCCATAAAGAATGTCACTTATTATATTATTAATTATTCTCTAATGTTTGTACTGACAATTCAGACTTATTTACAAAATAATCTCAAAACAACATACATTTTACAAGTTTAACAAAGCAAACATTTAAAATAATAACAGACACCAAATATCTCAGAAAGGGAAGGAATAATACAAAATCACGTGAATTCATGTAAGCACATTAATTCTGAGTTGATGACATTTAAGGAAACTACGTCCAGCTTATTACAAAACAACTTAATACTATTATTTCTGGCAGTACCACTACCTTGTTCTTGAATTTATTATTGTTCCAGAATTCTACCAAATACTGCAATGTTTAGAAAGGGATTCTTCCCAATGCAGTACTTCAAACAAAATTATTATTTAAATACAGTTCCACAGTACATCTGATTATGTACTGCACACTAATTCAATTAGTTTTGGAATAAATACTTCAGTGCATTCATTTCTACAACATACGAAAGTACATTACACCATGCAAATTAGGTGTACATTTGCCGCCTTCACTGTGAGTCACTTGAAGAACTACTACTGGAATCAGTTGACATGACTTCTACATCTTCTGCTTCCTTGTTATGGTTGCGAGTGTCCATTGCAACACTACCCACTTGATTCCCTACAGTCATGTGAATCTCCCCTGATGGATGCCACGCAAACTGATTTTGTTGAGACGCAGGAGGTTCTGAAAAAATGTGGCAGTGTAATATTTCATTTACTGCAAGTAAAAAAAGGAATTTTTCTTTACATTCTCAGTAATAAACCAACTCGTCTCAAAACATCTTTCAATGAACTTTGAAACTATTTCTGAACATGGAAGAGGAAAGACTCTCACCTGCACCTGGAGCATGACCTGCTCTGTGTAATTCACTCAAACTATTGGAAGACAAGAGATGTCCATTAATAGGAAGATCACTCAGTCGTCCCAGAAGACCACATCTCATTTCGATATCTGTAAACCACAAGGTTCACCATCAAATACAATTGTGGAGAAAAAACATTACACAAATCAAAGAAATGAAATTACAAGGAAACTATTATTTTACCAGTGGGATATGGTCTTCGGGGATCTCCCTGCTGCCAAGTAAGAGGGGCACAGACAGCATTTGAAGCACTGATTCGATGGGCAAACTTGATTAAATCCTCAGAACAAACAGGTCGTTTGTTTGCTCTAGCAATTGATTGAAGCTTCTGCTTAGCTTGGTAAATAGCTGTAGCCTGATCAAAACAAAGGGGAAGTGTGCTGTAACAACTTGCATGTTTACAGTTGCAAAGCTTCCAACATAGAAAAAAAAATCTAACAAAGAAAATTATTCACAGTATGTAAAGATGCATTCCCGTAATCATTATTAGGCAACAAAAACAGAAAATTTATTGAATACTGCATCTACTGACATGCTCCAACTAACTTTTTTTTTATTTAGTACGTACCTGTTACATCTAAATGAAATTGTTATGTGCAAATAAGGAACAAGATTTATCAAAGAAATAGCATAAGTATTGCTCAGAGTTGTCAAAAGGGATACCACAAAAATAACTGAAAATATAATCCATTAATTGAATGATCCAAATAAGAATATGCCAATACAGAATTGTACATCATTGGTATGTAGGCATTGATATATTTGAATAATTATGGAAAGGAAACACGTGGATTAGGTTGCAAATATCATGAGGTGAAGATGAAATACAGTCAACTACATTTATATTGAACCTCTGGGACCTAACATTTTTGGTTGATTAAATGGTAGCTCACTAGAGGTACATCACATAAATCACATTTGATATGGTGAAATAATCTAATTTCTCCTCAAAGACTGATTTTGTTATTTATTTCCTAGAGCGGATTCAGTATTTCAATCTATTAATTTAATCTTAAAATAATCGTTTTTAATTCTGTTTGCTATAACAAGGTTTTTTATTAATTTTTGTATATCCTTTTTCAGAGTCCCTACTTTTTACACTCAAATCTACAAAGACCATAGCCTCAAAATATTTTTGTACAATTCCTTGAATGACTCTTGCACTGCTAGAATAGTTTTCATTTGCATCCACTTCATCATCACTCTCCTATCTTTTGTTCTGGAAGACCCTTTCACAGCATTTAATACAATGTTCCTGGTCAGATAGGATTTCACTAGTTTTTATCTCCTATTCCACCACTGTACAGTCTTCAGGCTACACTAACAGAATTACCACAGATGAGCTGAAACTATTTCCTTAGTGGTATCTTCTCTTGAATACTTTTGTTTACTATAAATGTAACAAAGACTTGTGAGACTTGCCAACTTGTAATGTTATTGGGATTCACAATTTGAGAGTGAAGTATTTTTTTCCTATACAACCAGTACAGAGAATTCACTATAACCGAATCATCTAATGATTATTCGAATGTGAATGCAAGTGAATCGGGACCAGTGACTTTAGTTCACTGTATCCAGAAATTACTGTTCCAAACTGAGGCACTTGGGACATTAAAAACTCATTTTAAAAAAATTATGTAAGAAAGTATCATTGGATTCTAGAGAGTAGGTTAAGAAAGAAACTGAAGTTTGGATTACAGACATAACACTTCAGTCATTTATTTGATCTGATCTTAATCCAGCCCTAAAGAACATATTTAGATGCGTCCAATTCAGTGTCTTGTTAAATCCAGAAACTATATCAATGTAACTTTACCTAACCAATTATATGCCGAATAAACAGGCAAAATGTCGGTACAAAAACTTCAACCTTTTTATTGACCTACCTTCTAGATACTAATATTATTAAAAGACAGGCTGAAGATAAACAAGATGATTGTAACTTGTATGTCTACTCAAAATATTCTTATACAGTAAACGCTAATTAAGTTTATCCACTCTAGAGAATTAATGTTTACTCTTAACATAATTAATTTTTCTTTCTAAAATATACTTTGAAATACTTGCATATCAATTAACTACTAGCAGAAAAAGGGACAACGACGCCAACATTTAATTCAACATTCGTATCCTCGTTTAAGGTGTTCATCCTTTTAATCAAATATTCCTATTATTGTCAAACTATGTTTGATAAGATATTGTCAGATACGGGACATTTAATAAATTCCTCTACTGATACTGCACTCAAAGGAAGTAAAGTGATTTCATTTCAATTCATCACAAACAACAGATTCTTAAAACCATGCAACACTTAACAACATGCAAGTCATTGGTGAAGTTGAATGCTCTAAAAAAATGGACGTCAAGAATATCATTAAACATTCAAAAATGATAAAACGTGAGGGTCATCAGACACACCAGACAATGTCACAATTTAATTACCAAGATTTGTTCAGCTTCTTTTAACTGCCTCTGTAGTTGCTGGATGTATTGGTCTTGTCTGTCAACTTCACCCTTCAGAGCATCCATTTTTTGATTAACTTTTGCTTGTTCATCAGCTAGTTTTAGAGTTTCCTTGAGTTCATTGTCCTTCATTACCAACAATTCTGTGATTTGAGCATGTTCTGCACTTGACAGTTTTTGGTGCTTTGGTGCGATCGTATTTTCTATTAATTCTCTGTAAATCAGTCATTAATTTTAGTTCAAAGCTACAATTAATTCCTAAAATTGAATAACATGCATAACCTAGATCAAATATGTTGAATAGTACACGATCCCAAATCAGGTGCATGCTCGAAAATAAACGTTCGAGTACAAGGTATAAGGGAAATACATACTTAGCAATGAGTTCTATGTCATCAATCAGAGACAATAATCTCTCGCCGGTGCTAATGCTGTTCGCTGCCATTACTGCCCAACGCCAACGTCAACCCTATGCGACCTCGCGTCTGTTTACTATGTTTACACTGGTGGATGCGTGTCCGTGGGTGCGTGCATGCATGCTGGCAGTCGGTTTCCAGAAGATAGTAGAATTTGCTCTTCGATACCCGAGAAAAAAACTTATTGTCATTGTTTTGGTTATAAATGAATTATATGTACTAATCACGTTTATAATTTTAAACAAAAGTGAGAAGTGAAAGGTATACAAATAATCGATATGAATTAAGTATTATTTTAATTAGAAATTATTTGAAAGTTGTGACATCTGCGCCGTGAATTGCCACAAACGTGAAATTGCATAATATTTTATTCGTGTAAATATAATAATGGATAGCAATATGTGTGGATTGTACATCATGGTACGACGAGCCTTGTTATCACCCTCCTATATCACAAAACCGGCGAGTGAAAGTTGAGAGTTTATATCGCTCGCAGTGAAGCCTGATCCGGGTCGTGGGCAGCCGTCATTCGTCCAGATTGCCGGCTGTGGGTGGTAAGGGGCAAAATACCGTCGACACTTGCCGAAGGACGTCAAGTGATGTTCTAACTGTATAATTTTGACTCAGTTTGTAAAATCCTTATTTATTATCCTTATTTAACCGTCTTCGTTTAATATCCGTGTACGTGTCATTTCCCGCTCATATTTTATTATTTGTTACAATTATTTTGTATCTCTTATTATTGTGAAATACTTCTAAAAATCAACAATCACTTTTGTTCTAGTGTTCACATTATCATGTGGAAGCTCAGTTTTATATTTGTTGCATTTAGTGTTGTGAGATGTTTAGCTCATGACAGTGATTCAAAATCAGTATTAGTGTATAGTAGTGATCAATTTTTAACTGAAGTATCCAAGCAGAATCATTTTGTTATGTTTTTTGCACCATGGTGAGTAAATGTGATATTTTTTTTCAAGGAGGAAATGAAATGTGTTAATGAATTTTAAATCTGCCATGTCATTAACCATCTATTGCAGGTGTGGTCATTGCAGTAGATTATCTCCCACTTGGGATCAGTTGGCAGATAAATATAATAGTGCTGAAAAAAACTCTGTTAAGATTGCAAAGGTTGATTGTACCGTAGAAACTTCTTTGTGCTCAGAGCAAGATGTAACTGGTTATCCAACGTATGATTTTTTTAATTTTCTTGGTAAATAATAACTAATGAGGCAGCGAATACATACTTTATATGTTTCATGTTATAGCCTTAAACTTTTCAAAACTGGAGAAGATGAAGGAGTTAAATACAGAGGGACCCGAGATCTGGCATCTCTTACTACTTTTATTAGTGAACAGCTAGGAATAGAGGTATCCTTATAAATTTCTTAATTGTAAACACTGAGGGAAAATCATTGAGAATAATGATTAAATATGTATTTTCTAGGAACCAGATAGTGTTCCAGAACTTCCAGAGCCTGTGAATGGATTAATTGAGTTAACAGAAGAAACTTTTGAAGATCATATAAGGGAAGGAAAGCATTTTGTTAAATTTTATGCCCCTTGGTGTGGTCATTGTCAGGTCAGTTGGGTTCTAACAGTTCCAAGAAGATTCTATATTGCATGTTGATCATTTCATTTTTAAGCATTGTTTCAGAAATTGGCACCTACATGGGATGACCTTGCCAGATCATTTGAATATGATACAACAGTAACTATAGCAAAAGTAGACTGTACTGTGCATAGGTCAGTATGTAACACCTTCGATATTGTTGGATATCCTACATTGTTATGGATTGAAGATGGTAAAAAGGTATATATCTATATGTGTGTGTAATGTAAATTAACATTGAAATTTCTTATTTAAATAAACATATTTTACTTTGAACTATTTTATTAAAATCAGAAGCATGAAGTATTAAAAGAAACATAAATAGAAGTGTAGATGCTAAAACATCCACATCTTACAGTAATTCACTCAATTTGACTCCTAGGAAATTATTTTTCTACTTAAACTGTAGTGATGTGTATGTATTTTAATGCTTTAATGATAAGGTTCTTTCTCTTTTTGATGCAAAGCACAGCCATAGTAATCTGGGATACTTAATACAGATATCAAGTACTGTCTAATTTCTACTTAAGATCACTTTCTAGATTCATAGTTTCAAATATAAGGAACAGAATCTTTTTAATTAACAATTAAGTTTTATTTTTTAAATATTTTATTCTTCATAACTGACTATGCTGTCCAATTTCAAAACCAGTTGCAGAAGTATCAAGGCCAGCGAACTCTTGAAGATCTGAAGTCATTTGTTTCACGTATGCTAACCCCATCTGATACAACTGCTACTGAACAAGAAACTGATACTGACGATAACAGCCCCATTGCTGTTTTGTCAGGAGAAAACTTTGAATCTGGTGTAGCAAGTGGTTTTGCGTTTGTAAAATTCTTTGCGCCTTGGTAAGTATGTGACAACAATTTTCTTCTGTTTTTATCATAGTACTAGTGTGTCATAAATCATTTTTTTATCAAATATACAATGCATTTAAGAAAATTATTTATTTTTGCTTTACCATATCTTTTCTATGTGTAAATGTGAATTTGTTAGGTGTGGACACTGTAAACGTCTAGCACCTACATGGGAAGAACTGGGTAAAAAGTTCGTGGGTAACGAACTAGTTCGAATTGTGAAAGTGGATTGCACTCAGGAGATAAGCAAGGATCTGTGTAATAGGCAAGAGGTATGTATATCTAATAAATCTTTACATATCTATAACATGGTGAAGGTTATGCACAATTTCTGGAAATGAGTCGTTTTCACATAATTTTGTGTGAAATTTAAGCAAATGAACTAGTACTACACAATAGTAAAGATTTTCCTGTATTTGTTTTCTATTGCCTTTGGTCTCGGCTAGTTATTCGAACTTGTCTGCCACCATCTATCGCCACCCAAAGTACATTTTTTTGAACTTTCTTAATTTTTTGGTTTCTTAACTAAATAGTAGAACCAAAATATTATTTTACGAATATTAAAGGACACTAAAACCTTGTCATAAATGGTGATTTTCTTTGAAATATTTAGAAAAGTTTTTAAGAAAATGGCACTTAAGTGCTACAGTAAATTCAAAACTTAAAGCTCTTTTTCACAGAAAATTTTTGAGTTTTCAAAAAACATAATTTGAAGCACTTGAACTAACAAATACAATAGTGTTTACAAATTAAGGGAAATGTGCATATTATTGGTGTGAGAGATCTTTCAAAAAAATTAAATTTGTGTTATTTTTGTGAAAAAAGAAACAAAAAATACCTGAAATGAACTTTGTCATGTGAAAGAGTGTAATTTGCACTACCCACCCCAAAAATTTTGAGTTGTTTTTAACAAAATGGTGTTTTTGAACACTTCTGAAAATGCAAAATTTTGAGCTAGTTTGCACTGAATTAGTTAAGTTTTGGGGAAGCTTTATATGACATTATTTAAAGCACTTGTAGTCATAAGTATAATATTGTAAACAAATCGCAGCTAATGTAAATATTAATTAGAGACAAGTTAAAAAATTACGTTTTTGTAATTTTTGAAAAAGAAAAAAAAAGAATAAAGTGATATCGTGTTTGTTGACCTACAGAGTGCATGTAGCACAATCCTTACCAAAGGTTTAAAGAAAAAGTTTTTGCGCTGTTTTTGAAAAAATAATTTTTTTTTTAAATTGCACATATATTGCGCAAAAATTGCTGGAATTTTCAAAAAAATAAACATTACCTTAATGAATGAACTGTCTATGGAGAGCAAATTTTATTTGAAAGAAAAATCTCTATCATCAATTTTGCAGTTGTAGGGAGACCTCGAAAAAAATTTGAACTTTTGAAATTTTCAAAGATTCAAAGTTAACCATGAAAATCGGACCTATGCCACCTTTATAAGTGAAGTTAACTATATTCTTATAAGAAATTTACAGTAATTTGGAGCCATTTCTGAGAAAATATTGAAAATGTCCTGGGGTCTTCATGTAAGGTACCTCCCAAACTAATGAATTATTTTCAAAATAGTCTTGATTAGCGTTTCTTCAATTTGGAAAAAATCCTACATTGGGTTTAGGCACCAGTGTTGTTCATATACTTCAGATGGAAAAAACAAACACTTTTTCGGTACCAGGGGACCTCAAAGTGTGCGTTTCCATTGAAATCTCTAAATCGATTTTCCGCAGCATTACATAACATTTTTTTCTTTTTGTAAATAGAACATGCTTATGAAAATATGGCACCAAAGCTATACATGTTGAACTATAAATTTTCAAAATTGCAAAAGTTCGAAATAATGAGAGAAAGTATAAATTCTCGGCTATCCGGGAGACGCTGCGTCGTTGGCTGGGGTGCCGACGTTTCGCCTGACATGTCGCAGGCTTCCTCAGCCAACGGTCGGCACCCCAGCCAACGACGTGGCGTCTCCCGCATAGCCGAAAATTTATGGATTCGAGCCGCGGAAGCTTACGTATACAATGAGAGAACGTGTGTCCTGTTCTACCATTAGTTAACTCTATAATACATTCAATTGTCACAAGATAATTTGTATATATTCAACTCATAATTTTTAATTTCTCATTGTTTTAAGTTTAAAATTGTGAAAGCTTATGTGGATTTTAAAGGTGCATGATTACGTTACTGGTTCACAGATGTTGCTCAGCATGTAATTGGACACAATACAATTAGCTGTACAGTGCTAGCTGGTGATACAATGTTTTATATCACCAGCTAGCACTTTGAATTACATATTGTTACTTTCCTTAGCTGTGGATTTGGCATGACTTGAGAATTTTGCATAAATGGGATTTAGTCGTTTCAATAAAAGCACTTCTGACAATATCTATACACTTCCAAGTTTCACCCCATTTGCTATCAGTCTAACAAGATTTTTAATCTTTGTTTGTTTTTGAATTTATATACTTGTATGAGATGTCCTGATAGAAATTGCAAATCTGAAAATTATTGAACATGTTCTTTTATTTTTTATTTATTTAAATGTGTTCTTTTGTTTTGGGGAGGAGAGGGATAAATTATGACATGTCATTGTGTAGGTTGGTTGAAAACATGAAGTTGATAAAAGGAAGAGGACTTATTAAATTTTCTTTTGAAGCTCATTATTCACAATTAAAAACATGTAAATGCTCATAATATTTAAACATGTAGTGTCGAGAAAATACAAAACCTGCTTATCACAGAAGAATATCTTTCTGTATCATTTCTTCTAGGTGGATGGTTTTCCAACTTTGTTCCTGTATAAAAATGGAGAGAAAATTGAAGAGTATAATGGTTCTCGTAGTTTGGATGATCTGTACGAGTTTGTTTTAAAACATCTTCCACATGATGAACTGTAAGACTTACGTTTTTCTGTAGCTCCAACTTTGTACTTAGAAATGTTATCTTTCTCTCATCTTGGTACCTTTCATTGAAAACTTTTTTGAAGTTTTATTTCTTTAACTTCAGTCTTTTGTTATATGTTGTCATCGGATAATTGGTATGTTCAAATTTTACACTTTTTGTTGTATTTGCACAATCATTTATTGTTAATTATTGTTATTTGGTAGGGGTTGTTTGTGAAAACTTTTCTTTGTGCAATTTTAACTGGTTATATTGTTGATTGTTTTATTCATGGTCATTCTTGGATCAAATGTGAAGCAGTTGTGGCACTTTCAGAAAAGTGACTTGTGATAAGCTACACAGCAAAGGACATCTTTAGTTCTATTATATGTAAAAATGACTACACATTCATACAGTGAAACCTCTCAGAAAGTCAACTTATATTAAATGACTACCCCTCCCAACAACTGATTTTTCTTGGAACAGTCACAGGAATTTATATATTGTACTCCTGTTAATATATCACCTTTCTTCCAGACCACTGACCACCACCTTTGTAGTTTCACAATTTACCCTTTTTAAGAGTCACCT